CGGTCTGATCTTTCCTTCTCTCGGACACCAGCAATTGCCTTTGCCCACTCTTTGGGGTCCTCAGAATCCACCACAAATGATTTCCCTGCTGGTACAGTGCACAATGCTTCACCAAATCCTGAGTTGCCACTGACAAGAATGGGAAGACCGGCAGACAAAGCTTCTAATGCCGTCAGGCCAAAACCTTCTGTTCTGGAGGGCATCATGCAGAGATCAACTTCACAAAATAATTTTTTCAATTTCTTTTTGCTCTGTACGAACTTCCTCACAGTTAGCTGGCTTTTATCAATTCCACTCTTTAGCAAATTCGCTGCAACCTCATCCTGTTTACCGTCAGGTGCACCCACAAAAATCAGAAGATAAGATCTCTCTTTCAGTTCAACTATAGCTCTGGCAGAGATATCGTAGCCCTTCAGGCTAAAGTCTTCTGGATCACCACGGCCAAATGTTAAAACCTTAAACTTCTCCATGTCACCTGCAGCTTGTTTTACGTCGGAAAACTCACTGAACGTGCTCGGCGTCAGTTGAATTACATCTTGGTGCTTCTCACATGAGCGCAGGTAGGAAGAGTAAGCTTTCGTCAACTTTGGTCCAACTGCTACCACGGCATCTGCCAACTCACACAACTCAACCTCAATTGTATTCTTCTCTTCACCTTTACAAATGGCCAGAGGATAGTCTTTGTGCATTCCAAGTTCTTCAGGTGCAGTATGCACTACCTGTATCCACGTACATTTGTGCGATTCTCTGATAAATTGAGCTTGTTTACCAAGTTTTGCTCCATGACCAAGTACTATGTCAATGGCCAGATCTCTCGGTGGGGCACTCAGCCAGTCAAGGGGGTTGGCATAACCCGGACGTCTTTGAGCCTCTCTCAAAGATACATTGTGACTCGATGCCATTCTCCTCTCTTCTTCAGAACAGGCAGACTGTGGAACAAGAAGAGTGACGTCCACTTGCGAGTGTTTGGCCAACAGAATGGCAAACTGCCTGTTTATGGTAGACAAGCCTCCCATCGATGAACTCCATTCACTGCCCAAGAGGGTCACCTTCAATGCCGTTTCAGACTTTAATGGATCAACTTCATTTGTCCCACCATGTGATCTGGCCGCTTCATTTGAAGAGGATAAACCCTAAGGAATAAACGTCGCATAGAATTATGACAATTACATACCATAACAAATGTGTGTAATCATATAAATAAATGTATGTTGATCAAGACTTAACCAAAGAATACAGAAAAGTATAAACTTCACAAATAATTTCATCGTGATAGAGATTATCCGACTTATATTTGAAAGTAGATGAAAACTATCAGGGCTACCTTTCTCAATACTGATAACGGCCCATTTTATTCTCAGATCAAGTAAAGTAAAAGTGAGAATTGGCAAAGATGAATCAGAGGCTAGAAAATCTGCGCTTAAAATATCATTTGAATCGACCATACCTGGCGTCTTGTTTTCAAGAACCATTTCCCCAACCCACAGGGATGAAGTACTTTGTTCCCTAGCTTTCTTATACATATTTTTGCTTGGCCTTCATTTGCATCAATGAGATGAAAGCAGTCCTCGTGTGTGCAAGTGGTTTTCACGTGGTCTGAGCATGCACGACGTGGTTCTTCTGCCCCTTGATGACAGTAAGGACATGCAACACACAGCCTATACTGTAGACCCCTTAGGTATGGCATTTCTTGTGACAAATTCTGTAGGGTGTCTTCGATAAATTCACGAACAACAGTTGCTAGTTCGGCGGAGTTCTGTCCTACAACCTGATGACTTTGTGTCCTTTGTCTCAAGATTACCTTCACAAATCCCGTTTTGCATATGAGGACAAAATCATGAATATCTTTCCCAATGATGAACCGTGCTCCATTTTGGTACAGGGTAGGTTGATGCGTGGGCCATGTCTTTGAACACCAACGAATGGATCGTGAGACAAGCTGAAAGAAGAGACCATGAGGAACAAAGCCATGGACAAAAAAAAGATACAATGGACAGGGATCCGCTGACGATGGTTTCATCTTACAGAGTTCTTCAGGCGATGACTTCAGCTGAGCTGGTACAAAGTACTTCACATTAGTTGGGCAAAGTGAGTACTTTGCTATCAAACCAAATCGCTCCATCATGTCTAAGATGTCTTCTTTGATGATCCCTTGTCCAATAACGCTGGAGAAAACATGATCAACATGTTCCATGCTGAGGATGCCACTTCCTTCAAGTTCCCGCCAGTACTTAGCATATAAGGGATTCTATAAAATAATTATATAAAAAAAAAACAGCAATGTTCCTTTTGAATGTTCTCCACGCATATGGACTAAAGTTTAAAAGTCCTTATTTCATCATTTATATTAATGTACCGAAATGGTCGGAAATTAAACTCTTAACAGGCAATTTAGTATCTTTGGCTGATTAGAGGTGAATACTAGTTGTTATTCCCCACTGATTGTAACGTGAAAAAATAAAAAGAGAAATATTGACAAATCAAAGGCTCCACAGCTGTTGCATTAATTGCCCAGTTTTTAAGACCAACATCATGCTTAGTTTTCTTTGGTCTAGATTATTGAACAAAATTTTCCAAGTAAGCTAGCCTTTCTAAAATGAAATTTTTTTTCTACCTGTTTATTGAAAGGTGGTATGGTTATGAGCTGCTTGAACAGATCAATCAACCACTGAGCCTTCAGTACAACTGTACTGCGGTGCTTGATTATCATCCCCAGGCCATGGTAGAAACTGATCATGGAGTCAAACTCTTTTGCATCTTCCATGAAACAATCTTTCCTTGCATAGTGCTCAAGTTGTTGTAGATTTCTGTGATAAATCTGTTTAGCGACCAAAGCTCCAATCACCTTTTCAAACAAAAACCACCTAAAGGGCAACAGAATATTTAAAATGTATCATGGCATAAAACTGGGTATTGATATCTGTAACTGAAGAAATCGTAACCTCACAACACCACGAAGATAAAGACGATTTATTCGGTATAAATGATGTTCACGGTATGTGGATTGAAACTTAAAAGCAATAAATGAATACGAAATTACAACAATTGGCTAGTAAAAGTGACAGGAAAGAAATACACTGAACAAACTTGAAATGACAGTACTTAAATTGTTACGATTTCTACGAAACTGCTGGACGAATATAAACTGCCCAAAGGTGAAATAAAGATAAACTGGATTAACTGCTCAAAGCGGACTACTGCATGGCTAACGGAAGACTAAAACTCTGAACTGAGAAAAACTAAGTTATAAATGCGAAAACGACTAGCTAACTCAAAGTGCAATTAACGCTGATATTACGAAAGAAACTAATGAACGAAAATACGTGACATAGAGACAACAGAAGCTAACTAACCAGCGAAAAAATACTAACGAACGACGAGAAACAGCGACAATACAGAGACACCCTAATGATTGATTTAATGAGAAAAACAAAAACGAAAAACATTCCGCGCGCTAAGACCCTACAATATCAGTCAGACATATATCTATTTATGGTCTTCTGGTGTAAATTCAAATATTGCCTGGTACTGTCTTCAACATTCAGGAATAATCAAACATGGTTATTTTTTGTCGCAACATCTCAATTTAAAGTGCTAATGTCCAATTGCTACCTGATGTCTATTCTGACCACAAAGTGGTCAGCTGCACAATGAACTATTCCAAACCACCATCTTCAAAAGTACTAATCACATATAGATCTACGAGGACTTTGGATGCTACTAAGCTGCAAAGCGATATCAATAATACCCTTCAAAGATAGATTCCTTGTTTGAACCGTCACTGGATCACTTGATGTCTCTATATAATAGAGACCTAAAAGATATCTACGATACTGCGGCACCAATTCAGTCTAGATGGATTAAACAACGTTCCCATGCACAAAACGTCGACTGGAGCGCAAATTAAAAAAATCCGGCCGGGTAGTTGATCAAAAAAAGTTTGAATCAAAATGCGTTGAATATAATTCTTTAATTGAAATAACAAAGATGCACTTCTATAAATCTCGGATAAAACAGACCGATCGGAATCAGCTCTTCAGACTTACTGAAAGCTTCTTCAAGATAAAAAACACTGCGTTGCCTACTTATGACTCTCTTAAACAACTTACTGAAGATTTTAACAACTTTTTTATAAACAAGATTAGAGACATGCGTAAGGAACTATCCGACCTTTCGAACAACACCCAGCTACTTCATAATTTGGAAAAAAGAAATATTCACTGTGAGCTCTCTGAATTCATTCCACTATCAAACATGAATACTAAAGACGTTATAATATCATTCTCGAACAAGACCTGCCCTCTGGATCCGATTCCAACACATATCATTAAAGACAACATAAACTTATTATTACCTCTTATCAGCAGAATCGTTAGACAATGCGTTGAAACTGGAGTCTTCCCAACTTCTTTGAAAACCTCACTGGTTCATCCGAAACTGAAGAAACCTAATCTCGAGCCTGATTAGTTTGCCAATTATAGACCCATAGACAAATATTCCATTTGTCTCTAAGATAATTGAAAAGTCAGTTGCCATTCAAGTTCAAAATTACCTGAACTACCATGGACTATTTCCTTCCTTACAATCTGTATACAGGGAACATCACTCAACAGAATCTGCTCTACTCAGAGTTAGTAATAATATTTTTAGGATACTTGACTCTCAAGGCGAAGTAATTCTGGTTCTACTTGATCTATCGGCAGCGTTCGATACCATAGATCACCATCTTCTGCTCACGAGACTTGGACATACTTTAACTTCACTGGAACTGTTCTTCAATGGTTCTCCTCGTACCTACTTGATCGCTTCCAGCAAGTGACTATTAGTGATTCTACATCCTCACCGCGATGCTTAGAATATGGAGTACCTCAGGGCTCGATACTTGGCCCATTACTCTTTACTCTCTACCTGGCACCTCTTCAAAATCTTATACTTACTCGTGACTTAAAATTATCTACATCACTATTAAAGATCCTGAGCATTCTGCCGAGTCTGTGAATATTTTTCAAGCATGTGTAAATGATGTTTTTGCATGGTACACTCAGAACATGCTGAAGAGCAATCCAGATAAAACTGAAATTCTGCATTTCACCTCCCGGTGCAAGAAGCAACCATCATTGTTGGAGACAGTAACATTAGCAAATAGTGAAATAGGAATCAAAGGAAAAGCTACGAATCAAGGCATTGTAATGGATTAGAATCTATCTTTTAACGACCATATCAATGAAACATGCAAAAAAGCCAGTTTTGCTATAAGATCCATTGGACGCATCCGTCGATACCTTCCCAATGATGCGTTGAAGATGCTAGTCAACTCCCTTATAATTTCTAGACTAGACTATTGTAATAGCATTCTATATGGGATACCAAAGTATCAAGGGGACAAACTACAGAGGATCCACAATATCGCTGCTCGTATGATAACCGGAACACGAAACACTGACCATATCACACCTATTTTAAAGAATCTACATTGGCAGCCAATCGAAGCAAGAGTTAATTTTAAGATATTACTTATAACTTATAAGATCTTAAATGAGCAATCTACTGGTTATTTAGAACCTGTTATACAAGAATACCACCCATCGAGAACACTGAGATCATCAACTCGCTCACAGTTATGCATCCCACCTATTAAATCCAATTCCTATGGTGGACGCGCTTTCTCAGTATCTGCACCGAAACTATGGAACTCAATTCCGAATATATTAAAAGAGCGGAAACAGTAGAAACATTCAAAACTGGGCTTAAGACATTTTTGTCTAAAAAACATTACTGTTAATTAATTACTTATTCTCATATATTAATAATCTGTTGTTAGGCTCATTGAGATTAGAAATGCGCCCTATAAGCATCTATTTATTATTATTATTATTATTATTATTATTATTAAAGAACTGTGGCTTAATGCTTGAATATCGATCGCATCTCCCCATCTTTTGTAATCATAACAGTCTCAATGTCAGAGTTTTTTGTTTGAAGTGAAGCGACTGCTGTGTATTTGTACAATCTGTTTTAAAAATTTGGATCAACTTTAAACTAGTGGAGTTTAGATCTTTTTGCAGTTGGTATACCTTTGCATGCATATGCATTAAATGCTGAATACAATGCTTGCAGGTGCTATTCAAAGAGCTTTTCATGGCTGTTTGAATTAACTATTGATCCTGTGCAATGAAGTGAGGTTCTTTCAGGTAAATTCATCTTTTTATTTACCTGACTGGTATTTTCTCCCCCATATAAGGCTCCTGCCTTAACACCTCCAGGATTTTGTTCCGTAATTCATTTATACCATCCACGTTTCCTTCTTGCTCTGCAGGATATATTTACAAAAGGAATTGAAAGCGTAACACAACACAGAAACATGTGCTTACAATGAGCACAGTTTGTACCATACATTTATAATTGCAGACATTTTATAGCTGAAAAGAAAGCAAAGATGATTAACTATTCAATTCCCCAAAGTTTACCTCCTCTGTTCTTTATTCCATACTTTGAAATTGATGGATTTGTCAGTGAAAAAATATAGGACCCAGCTAAATGCAACCAGTATATAATGTAGATAAAAACTAAATAGAGCGCAGCTAAACTCTACCTTGCTTTCACTTTTAGACAACACGAGATCAAATATCCCACCTGTTTTATGTTTTCCTCTCCGCTTTCCCAAACTCTGGATGAATTTCTTAATCGAGTTTGGCCTCTGTAATTTAGCGTTGTCAATGCAGAATAAGGGTCTGACCACATGCTTCTCATATTCCATACCAGAAATTCTCTCCTGTATTTGTTTCTTTATCACTGTTATGTCTTCAACTGGTTTGTCAGCATGCGTCCCAACAATGAACACAGCGGGGCGGAGGTAGGGCAGCTTGTGTTGTGCATCATTATCTGTATCATCAGTTGCTTGGGCAACACTGTGTACTGTAGCCAGCCAGGAGAGCAAATTCTCTATGTTTTTTTCATTGTTAGGGTTTTCTAATTTCACATCATTACTTCCTTGTCTGATACAAGGCTCAGCTGGGGCATCCAAAGGCTTGCTGAGATTGTGCACCAATATGTACACTGCTTGCTGTGATAAAAAGATAGGATGGCTGGCATAGTACAGGTGCTGCCCTGCAAAGTCCCAAATGTCCATTGTAATATACGATTCTTCTGTGAATAAAGCTCCCTTTATGTGTTTACCCTTGGCATAGTTCAACCACTGATGAACATGCTTCGCAGTATCAGGAGGTTGAGCAACATCAATCATCACATCAGGCTCAGCTTGTATGTTTTCACCTTTGCATTCAGTAATATCTTCATTGCCATTTTTTTGCTGAATATCTGTGAAACCTTTCTCTTGCACCTTAAAGAAGAATTAAATGAGGCAATATGCTGACTCACATTGAAGTTACATAACATACATACATACATTAATTTTATTGAACCTCCTCCATTGAGATTTTACAGCTAAAATGTAAAAATAATTATGAATAAATTATATAATTAGCGAATAAAAATTGGCATGGACATAAAATAGAAAAAATTATTGAATTCAGTTTTAAGATAACGTCTGCATCCACTTGTAATTTTAAAAAATATTACTTTGTATATAATTATTTAAACTTATGTTTACAATTCCACATTCGTAAGCACCGCTGGTTTAAGTTCAGACGTTCTCTACATACCCCTAGGTTTTAGTTTTTAGTACATTTAGTGATTAGTTAATTGCAAATGACCCCACAAGCTCAGGTAGCTTTAAAATAAAGGCTATCTATCTATCTATCTATCTATCTATCTATCTATCTATCTATCTATCTATCTATCTATCTATCTATCTTCTATCTATCTATCTATCTATCTATCTATCTATCTATCTATCTGTCTATCTATATACAATTGGAGAAAAAGATAGCAAAGTTCCTTTAAGTTGAGTAAAGACACCACTGGAAAAGTAATTGAAAAATGTAACAATCAAAGATGCCTCTACAAGTTTGGTATAGGCTGCAAAATCATTGCTTTCAGTTGAGATGTTTTAAAAAAATAAAAATTTATGTGCAGTTCTATTTTACTTGAGGTGTATATAAAATCATAAACTTATCTACACACTTTTGGAAACATCCAAAAGCAACAGATTGGTTAAGACAGATCCTGAGTGTAAGAGTGTTTTTCAACTTGGAATTCGCATAAAGGAAAGAATTTTAAAAAATATCAAGGTTTAATTCCCATTCATTCTCTTAAAAAACTTAACTGCACATTTGTACTCTCATAAGGCTTTAGCTGCCTTTCTCCCTCCTCCTCCTCCTTCTTTCCTTCCTCTTCTGCCCCCCCTTCAACATAAATAATTATATAGACATAATCATAAAATATTCAATGCTTTACTGAACTCTCAAACCTGCTTTGACTTGAAAACAACTCCAATTTCATCTTCCAATTTCAGAGAAATATCTGCTCCACACATGCTGTCAGCCACATCCTTTGCTAAATCTTTTGAATATTCCAACAGTCCTGGTTTACTCTCCTTGGTCAACTGCCAGTTCTTGACAGCTTGGTCAACATCAATTTCACACTTTGAAGGATCCACCTCAATTCCCTCAGTGCTCTGTTCTTTAGGGTCAAATGGAAGGCCTAAGAGACTCTTCTTCAAACTGGTTTTACCAGCGCGATCCTGACCAATCAGCATGAGTCGGGCGCGATACACTTTAACATATCCATCCTTCAAGGCCCTTTCATAAGCCAACTGTGCTTTGTGTCCTTCTGCTCTCTGTCTGTTCAAAATGTCTGCAAATAGAGGTTTTTTTTTTATACACGTTTATTTAACAATAACAATAACAATAAAATCTTATTCCCCTAGCTCTGCAGATAGCAGTACTAATTGAGGTGGGCCAGAATAATCAGTAAAAGAAGAGGTTAATACACACAGTTAAAACTACAGATGAATAAGTAGATGGTAAATACGAAAACAAATAAAGTCTATGGAAACAATTATGTGGTTAATTCAAGTTGACAGCGCACTATGTTGTGAGTGAATACATAAGATAAAATGGATAAGGTAGGATGGGTGAGACAAAGGTGATAGCTACTAAGAGTATTTACTAACTTTAGAGATTATTGATTCTAAATCTTCGCAGGAGTCTTCTAATTCTAATATATTGAACAAGATTGTACGGATTTTTCTTTTAAAGATGAATTTTTGTAGTGTTCAGAGCTTAGTTGGTGTCTCATTCCACAGATTTGCACGGATTCTTGAAAAAGATTTTCGTTCAATTTCAAGTTTTGATTTTTTAATGTAAAAGTTGTTGGAGGCTGAAGATCACGTATTATATGAATGAATTTTTGCAGTAGGGATGAACAAATCCTTCAATTGTGAAGGAATAACATCATTATTTACATCAAGCATTGTCTCAGCTAGCAATTTATAATACATGAAGTGAATAGGTAAAGTCTTCACACAAAGGAACAGAGGAATGGTGTGATCATACCTGTCAGCAAAACACATGAAACAGAGAGTACGTTTTTGGAGCATCAAAAGCCTATTTAATTTAGTTTTGCCAGCTTGTCCCCATGCAATTAAACCGTATCGTAAATAAGGAACAACAAGGCAGTTGCATATACTAAGAAGAGTATGGAAAGGAACAAAATGCCTTATCTTAGACAGCAATCCAATGGTTTTACTAAGTTTCAATATTATAGAGTCAATATGGTTTTTCCATGAAGTTTATAATCGATTAGGACACCAAGATATTTCACATGGTCTTTACATTCCAGGTGAGTTAATGTATTAATTTTGTTTTGGCTATCGTTAATGTATATTGCGGAAAGAAAAGGAAGGTGTTTTTGGTAAGGATGAAAAATTACTAATTCAAATGAGTTTTTTCGAGATTAAGGGTTAATTTGTTAGATACAAGCTACTGGTACACATTATTTAGTTTGACATTCATTTCTTTTACAAGAGTTTTGAGGTCTTTGTGGCTATAAATAATATTTGTGTCATCAGCAAATAAATAAAATTTCAATTTCTTTGAGCTGCAGCAAATGTCATTAACATACAGGAGAAAGAGTAATGGTCCTAAAACTGAACCATGAGGAACTCCACAAGTAATAATTGACTTATTAGACGACCTATTTCCAACTACTGTCACTTGCGTTCTCTCATGTAGATAAGATCTGAACCAATGGTTAATTAACCCCTGAAATCCATAATAAGCTAATTTTTTAAGCAAAATACTATGATCAACAGTGTCAAAAGCTTTCTTTAGGTCAACAAAGACACCACACATATTTGATTGAATAGCCCTAAAAATATCAAGAATTGCATGCTCCGTTGAGTGACCCTGTCTGAAGCCATATTGTGATGAACTTATGATTTTGCTTTCATTGATGAAAGATTTCAGCCTTTTGAAGACAAGTTTTTCAAATATTCTGTTAAAACAAGATAATAATGAAATTGGTCCATAGTTGTTGGGATCCGTCTGATCATCAGATTTGAAGAATGGTATAACTTTTGCCATTTTTAGTTTAGAGGGGAACATACCAAGTTCAATAGACGTATTGAAGATATTTGGTAAAACTTCACTTAAGATTTCATATGCATATTTAAGTATGCTGACAGGGAACGAGTAAAATCCGTATGATTTGTTTTTAGGCATAGAGAGAATTTCCAATTTAATTTCATTGGGGCTTATTGGCCCAAAGAAAAATTACGTAATAGGTGACTTGTTTTTGTCAAGGTATTCAATAAAGTGTTTCCCAAAAGTGGGGAGCTTGCTAGCTAGGCTGGGACCAGCGCTTACAATTGAAAGTGTTTATTCAAAATGTTGGGAATACGCAATTTTAGCTTAGTAGTAGTGTTGGTGAGAGGTTGCTTTAGGTTATATATGTCCTGTAGGTTTTCTATTTGCGGTTTGTAATAAGGTTGTAATATGTGAAGGTGTAGTCTGATCGTCCGGGTGAGTGTAGTCCTGAGAAGGACTGTTGTCGGTGGCAGTGACTGACGTTTCGACAACCTGTGCGGAAGTCATCATCACTTGACTCTGATGATGACTTCCGCACAGGTTGTCGAAACGTCAGTCACTGCCACCGACAACAGTCCTTCTCAGGACTACACTCACCTGGACGATCAGACTACACCTTCACATGTTACCCCCGGGTTCAAACCATTTACTGCAAGGTTGTAATAATTTACCCAAAGGAGAAACCAATTTCTGTTTTGTAAAGTTTCAAAAAAATCTGAAACAAGCCTAGACGTAGATGAGTCAATTGAATCATCATTATACTGTATGTCTTTCATGTATAAATTTAGAAACTACAATCAGTATTTTTCCTTAAGTTATATACATTGGTGAGTTTAGTAAACACATACACAATGACTTTTATTTACTGCCTTAATGGAATGAAACATTAAGAGTTTGAACAAACAGTGTGTGATCAAACTAAACAAAAGCAACAACTGATATCAATTCTGTGAAATAGTTACAAGTCAATAACAAATTATCTGTTCGGAAAACAGAAAGGAAAATCACATACATCCAGAAAGTAACAGCTGTGAGATTCTCAAAGATTAGAAGGCCAGTATAAATTATGATGTAAAAATCATCAGAATTAATCCTGACCAGCTAAGACAAAAGTTTTATTCCCATAACTTAAAACTCTTGCTTTAAATCAGACCAGTCCATAAATTCTGTATTGATCATAAGCTTGTGTTGTTAAATGTTTAATCACTTCCAGTCAAAATGAAAGAAAAAAATACAACTGTAATTGTTATTATTTCTAAATGAGAATTGATTTGTAAAAAAGTTTGTCCTTCCTTGATTCAAATGAAATAAATATAGAGAAAAGATTACAACAACCATTCCAAACAGTGAAATGACTTGCAATCAATTCAATCCTTTTTAAATTCCAATCAAATAGAGAGCAAAAATAACAACATTAATTCCTAACTGTAAAATAATTTGTAATAAACTTTGTCGTTCCTCAATTCCCTTCAAATTTCATTACATCCATTTTAAAATCACTGGTGGTCCCTGTAATCTTATTGGCTCTAATTGGTGGCATTTATCCATGAATTGCACCATTTTTTGCTCTAAATTGCATCTTTTTTCCAGCTAATGAGGAAGTTACACTTAAAACAAACAATGAATCAGATTTCAAGGCTTGTAAGTGACCAATCAAATTGTAGGAAAATGAAAGACAAAGGGTATCATTTGGCAAATTTTGGGTGATTTCAAAATGTATGTAATAAAGTGGTAATTGAACCTCGTGCAGTGCAATTTTGGTCTGTAATCATACTTTCAAATCGAAATCGCACTGCACACTCATTCGATTTCGAAATCACGCGTATGATTTCAGCCCAAATTACACTCCACTCAGTTCAATTACCATTATATAATTTATTACACTGTAGCTGAACTTAACTTTCATTGTCAGCCAATTTTTTAAAATAAAGTTTTTCAAAATATTACTTAATACTACATGTATCAATACAATTATGTCATGTACTCCTTAAGTGATGCCTGAACTTTGTTCACTCATACAGTATGACAGTAACAGTATTTACTTCATATTCTGCTCAGGCTTTATTATAAAACTGTTGTCAGCTGCCTGTAATTGTCGCTAACAAGCAGCATTATTGCTTGAAAGTAAACCATCAGAAACAGTTTTGTAAATGATGTGCCACAAAATTAACATGAAGAGGAATTTTGTTTACTCACCTGAGACATCTGTAAGCACAAATTTAATCTTATCCTTAAGCTCTATAACATTTCTTATCCCTTCGACTGTAAAAGGATTCCCCATCACATCCAAGGTTTTGAGTTTCTTCAGCTGTTTTATAGCTGGACTCAACACAGTCAACTGGTTGTAACTCAGATACAGTTCCTCCAGTCCCACCACCTCCCCAATAGCATCAGGGATGGTGGTTAGTCTGTTATATGAGATTTGCAGCCATTTGAGTTTCTTCAGCTGTCTTATGGCTGGACTCAACACAGTCAACTGGTTGAAACTTAGCACCAGCTGCTCCAGTCCCACCATCTCCCCAATAGCATCAGGGATGGTGGTTATTCTGTTATGCGAGATGAGCAGGAATTTGAGTTTCTTTAGCTGTGTCAAACTTTCTGGGAATATGGACAACTGGTTTTGATTCACATTAAGTTTGGTAAGATTAAATAATTCTCCAATGTTTTCAGGTATTGTTGTAAGGTTATTCCATGACAGGTCAAGTTTCTCCAGCTCTGTCAATTCCACCACAGCTGCAGGAAATTCAAGCAAACTGTGCTCTCTGATATTTAAACTCTTTCTTCCTAGATAATCTGTCATCATCTTTCTTCTTAACTCTTCCTTTGAAAGGTATGCCATGTTGTTCATATGAAACTGTCAGAACAAAAATACAAGCTTTAACTAAGGGTGAGTAAATTGAACTAACTTGCTTTGGCATTATAACCACTGAACCAACAAAAGAAAAAAATCAGGTTCATAATTAATTTTAACTTGTTGTAAACCAAGCTGATGATTTATTTCTCTCAGTACAATCTTTGGAGGTTGAGTTCTACATGTTAACAACAAGGCTATTATGGATATGAAAAATACTGGAATTTCAATACAGAGATCTCCAAGCTGCTTTTACAACAACATTCAGACTACTTTTGTAAACATTACTAATTTCCAACAGGAAAGAAATCATTATTGCAAATCTGTGGTTGGTTTTAATTATATGTTTTACTGTAATAACCTAAATAAACATGTTGTAATGTAAACCAAGACACGAATGATTTTTATTCAGACCAGGTAGCCTATTTTCAGACCTGTTATTTGATTTTATCCTCTTTTTAAGTCACTTTTGTTTGCAATTGACACAACCAATGAGTCAGAAAAAGGTCCTGGTTCTTTAATAGAAACTGATTTAATTGATAAGCCCTCGTCTCCAACATAATTCATAGTTTGGATTAAGAAAACATCAGTATGAGGGCCTTTTTTGTTTTGTTTTGTATTTTTTTTTTTAACAGAGTTTGTCACCCAGCATGAAGCTTTTAAGACTGAAATTTTCATTTCCAGACATGTCTTGCATGAAATTTAAGTCACCAACAGTTGCTGTACATATTATGTAATATAATGTAATGATGTTGTTGATGCAATAAACAAAAGTACCGCATTTATCCAAGTCTAAGCCAACCCATTATGATTGAAAAATCAGCCCAAAAAATCACCCTCGACTTATACACGGATTATTGACAAAGACCTGACCCAAGCAATCCAAGGAATTAGCATAACAATTGCCTGAAGTCCGTTAAGAAAACCAAGTTTACAAATTAAACCAGTTCTAATTGTGTTCGAGTTTCATCAGTTTTCAGTGTGTTCTTCATTAACAACAAAGTTTGAAATAATAAATTTTACATGGCTTAGACAGAAACCTAGTGGGGCTCATTTCTATTGTTATCTTCTGACCAGTAGAGCAGACATTTTTCCTTACAGCCTCACTGCTGTTTTTGATGCTGAACTCTCGTTTCATCAAATGATTACAGTAGCTTAGTGACTTGGCAAATTCTGTTTCTGGCATGGTCTTGTTTGTTTGTTTGTTATGCGTGTAATTTCCAAGATGGCGGTGTTTTCATTAAGCCATCCTTCAAGGCTCTTCGGTTTTCCTTCAGTCTATTAAATCTCCTTTCAAAAGGTTATTTAAGTGCATGAAGATTTCATTTTCAAAGTGATTTACAAAATATGCTTAATTACTTCTCCAGTAAATCAAGGTGCTCGTATAATCATTATGCTGAAATCATAAATCGTGGTAATGTAAACAAGTGCTACTAAACTTCACAGCACATGGTCACATTTTGCTCTGCAAAACTTCTTTTTTTCTTTTAATTCACCATGTTTCCAATATATTCTCAGAAATATGAGATCAGGCATTTGGGAAATTTCTATTGGTCTGAATTTTTTTTAAACTAGGAATTATGAAAAATCTGATTTTTTACCTTGAAAATGGAGAGTGGACATATACACAGGGTCGACTTATACACAGATAAATACGGTAAAAAGGAGTAAAGAAAACTGGTAATAGTTTTTTTTGTGTGTTGAAAGCACTGCAATTATGATCTGATTATGATTACGATCTGATAAAGTTTTAAAAGTTTGCAACCCTGGCTAGCATATCTTTTGATAGATATTTTTAGACATATAGATAATTTTCTGGAGTTTGTTTGGCAAACTTTAGCTGAGTTGCAGAATTTCAGCTGGTGAAATGTATCATGATTATGAGGATTTAAATTAAGATACTTATAAATAACATTACTGGATCACATCACAACAAAAGTGGCAAAATCAGAAGACAACAACATGGAGCCATATCCACTGATTGAAACACCCAACAGCTCTTTTGTTTAGTTGTGGCACACTTCAACCAAATTTGTCTCTGTTGTCTAAGCTTGAATTAAAGCTCTCTTGGAGTCCTTGTTAAAAATTTACAGAAAGAGCTTAAATCCCTTAAACTTGGCAAAAACTATCAGAGACAGCTGAAATCTCAGACAGCAAATGGAATTACCATTAACCTTGAGTGCATATTCACTTTGCAAGTGGTTTTTGTTCTCATCAGTATATAAGATTTTCTGTAAATTTCTAAATGAAAATCCAGTTAGTTTGTTGCTACAATTTTCTTGAAGAAAAATATGCCGACTTGTCCTAGTTCTCTTTGAGCAGTTTTGGTAATTCTGGTAAAAAATTTCAATAGCTAAAAATTAAAATCTGGGAATTTTCCCTGTGTGGCACCATTTGAATAGATGGGAAGATGTTTCACTTTTCTACAGGCAAGTAAACAATAGATTTTTTAACAATCAGAGTGTGTTTTGTGTCTAAGTTACATCATAAACAGTAATAAAATTGTACATTTAAGGACTTTCCCAAAGCTACGCACATTGCTCTACCTCTGAAAAATTAAAATCAAGATCTTTTCAACAATATTGGAGCAATTACAAAACCCATTAGGTATCAGTGCTTTCAATAAGCGCTGACCGCTAACGAAAATCGTCGGGTACTTCACTCAGAGAAGTCGGCTATGTTTTCCCTAAATTAAATAATCAAAGACAGATTCTTTGAAAACTAAACTAAAATTCATTTTGATGGGCTTGCACAAACTTTTTACCTCAGTTTCAAAATTAAATAATTATCAAAAGTGCTGTATTTCAGTCAATATTAACACATGTCTTTCAAGTTTTGCCAATCAAACGCAAGGGGTTAACGCAAAAATTTAACTGCATGTAAAGTATGTAATCTAATTACCGTCATTTGTTTATTGTGTTCAGGAGTTTATTTTGGCCTGAAAAATTGAACCTTGAATGAAAGCTGCATTTTCTTGAATGACAACAATGTTTGCATGTGCAATGGTATTACAAAAAGAACAGAACGAAGACAAATTGGATGCTCATTTAAGCGTTTTATTTTTTCCACTCGCATTTGAAGTCTGAGTTAAAAGCTGCAGCTAATTGATCTTATCACAGTTTCTGGCACCTGTCTGGTGGGTGTTCTGGTGGGTAGGGAGAGAAGTGTGGAATGTTTTTCACCCGCAAACTGTTTATGGGTTTGCAGGAAAAAAAACAAAGACAAATGGATGAAAGATTTAAAACGCAACTGGACGTCTTCTAGCAGAGATACACCCCTCAAGTTTTGTCAGTAAAATATTCGTTTACCTCTAACCTAAGATTGCAGTGAAAGATTTTTTTAAGAACTAACATTTTAGAAACATGGATGATTTAATTTACATCGGATTGCCAAACTGAAACACTTCTAATTTCGAGACAAATTAGCAAAATCAGTTGTAAAAGAAAGTTCTCTGAAAATAGTGATTAGTTGATTGATTTCAATAGTTCCAAGTTTGCATGATGTGATTTACCGTTAGTAAGTGATTCTGTTCAGCTCTATTGGTTTTAGTGACAATGACCTTAAACTTCTAGGAAATACATGCAAACTTCCCTTTTCAGCTTATTAGTATTGTAAAAATAAAAAAAAATGTTGCTGTTGATAGTGAGTTTTCCTTCATCTTTTGCACTTAATTTGGTCTTCAGGGCCCAGTTGTTTGAAGGCCTCTTAGGGCTAACCCAGGGTTAAATTCTAATCCAGGTTTCTATATTTCTTGTTCAAAGACCATTTTGAGATAATTTTCCCAATTCTTTTTAGAGCCTTCAATCATCAAATTGTAGAAAAATGGAATTAAAGTAAATTTTCCTTTAAAGCTTTCTGATGTGAAGTCGAATTTCACACTAACCTTGGGTTTTCTTAACCCACCTTTGAACAACCCGGCCCAGAACTCTAGAAATGGCATTTCAGAGCTTCCAGATGTCAAAATTCTCTGGGGGGGGGGGGAGGCCTGCTCCTAGAACCCCCTAGATAAATATTTGGTACGGTCGGTTACTCTCACTAACCAGCTGCCTATTTGAAATTTTATTGAAACTCCTGAGGTATTTTAAAGCAATAAGGGAAGGTTCTCTCAAAGTTTGCAAAGGTTTGAAAACAACTCATGGATGAAGCCTTGGAAACCAGCATGCAAGCAGACTTTGAACTCAACATGATTAATCCCACCTTCACTGTAGTAATATTGCATTTATCATGTCAACTTCACACACCATCATATATTGGTTGAAAATTCTTGACCAAATTGATTTTTTTTTCATAGTGAACCCAATGTAAAATAATCAAAGTCATTGAATACAAACAGGGAAGTATTTATTGCTTTCACAAACAAGAGACCACTGACCAAATACTCAAACTAGAATTTTTTGGCTTGAAATGCACATTAAAGTATGCTATGGTTTCTACATCTTACTACAAATGATTGTTGGTGAATCATGAACAACTAAGTTCAAAATTTTCTAAGAATTTCAATT